GGAATCGTTCCTGCACCCGGCGATACACAGGCGGTTTTCGCAGATTTGGTTCCTGTTGCAGAACCCGTCCGAGTTGCAGACCGTCTTGCAGACGCCCCTGATGCACCTTTCGTTTTCCAGGCAGTTCTGGTCCCTAAACCCCGCAGCAACTCGTCACTAACAGTGCCAACTTTTTGCTTCAAAAACTCACGTTTTGCAGCTGCCCTCACACACGCCCTCAGTGCAGGACTCGGCTGATGTGCAGCCACTGTCTGCAGCGCAGGGTTTCGCCACCCGCTTGCAGGCTTCCTCAGGGTAGCCGTCCAGGGGGGCGGGGCATTCGCACACTTTCCTGTGATCCACCACTGAGCACTTGGCGTTGGTGCCGCAGGCTGTTGGCGACGAGCACGGATCTACGCACTTGTTGTTGACGCACGACTGATCCAGAGCGCATCCAGAGCTCGCTCTACAGCCCAGCACGCACTTGATGCCCTCGCACACTTCGCCGCTTCTACAGTCGTCGTCCTTGCGGCAGATCGGCTTGCAAACCCCGCCCTCACAGCGCTCGTTGTTCAAACAGCCGCCATCCGACAGGCAGACAGACCGGCAGAAGTCGTCCCTGCAGATACTGCTGTCTGAGCAGTCGGTGTTTTGCCTGCAGGGCTCAGGAGGAGTGCGCACACATGCCACATTGGCCGTAGGGTTCGGCACCAGGTTCCTGCCGCAGGAGCAAACGGCCCGATGGTTCGAGACGGAGCATTGCGCGTTGGGGCCGCAGGTGTTCGGCATGCAGGGATTCGTGCACTTGTTGCTGCTGCAGGACTCGCTGCTGTCGCAGTCTTCGTCGCCTCGGCAGCCGAAGATGCACTTGTTTCTGAGGCAAATGTGCCCCAGGAAACAGTCGTTGTCCACGCGGCAGGTCAGCATGCAGTCGCCCTGCAGGCAGATTTCGTTGAAGGCGCACTGCAGGTCCGAGGCGCATTTTGGCACGCAAATGTGCTCTTTGCAGGTGGAGTTTTCAGCGCAATCGGGGCTTGAGGTGCACGAAGCTGGCACTGCAATTGCAAAGAACTTGATCAGCTTGAAATGGGACAATGGGGACAGCTGTTGGTGCCCGGACAGAGCAAATATATACGTTTTACAAATATAATTTTTTATATATACAGGGTTATTCACGCTATTCGGCACGGAAGTTTGCGGCTAAACCGTTTGATTTTAGTATTATTTGATGAATTGTCCAACGCCTACGGGGCGCACATTTTAAAATATTTTTGTAATGTACAGGGTGTCCCAAAAGCTCTAAAAGTATCAAAGTTGCGTTTTTTTTTAATGGAATGTCCTGTATATTACTGCATTTTTTGATTCGCTGATCAAAATAAGTGTCTGTTTTAATAAGGTTTATAATACCTAAATCTTAAGGTTTTTAAAATAATACGAATTTAATCAAAATCTAATCTAATTTGCACGTGTCAAATGCTTTAGAAGCATTTAAGTTATGTAAGCGTAATTTATAGCGAAGTGTAACAAGATGTAATATTTTATATCCCAATGGTAATAATCTTGCCATGTTATACAGGGTGTCCACAAATTGAAACTAATCAAATAAGAACTTTAAGTGGCTGTAACTTGATTAATTTAAATACAACCCCATATTTTTTAACTTACCAGGAAATGCAATTTTTAATTACCTATCGAATGGTATTAGCTATAATAGCTAAGTTTTCACCTTTATACAAAATACGTCAAATAGTCGTTCTGTGCACCATTTGGTGTTGTTTAATTTAAGGTTCCAATGTATCTAAGTTGCCTATGCCTTTTATACATCTCAAATCATTTATTTTATTTATCAGTTTAGACTGCAAAGTCTCTTTTTGATAGCTGGAGTGGTATTGTTTTTTGCAATTGTAGACGTGTTGGTCGTTATTTTAATATTATTATTGTGTTGCTAAGTTAAAATGAAGAATTATCCAAGAAAAGAGCGTATTGACATGATTTTCACCCTTGGAGATTGTCATCAAAATTGTTTATTGGCTTCTCGAGTTTATGCTCAAAAGGTTCCTGAAAGAAATCATCCTAAGCCAACAGTTTTTAAGCGCTTAATACACCAATTTGAGGAAAGTGGGAGTGTCAATTATAAAAAACCCATTACAAGAAAATCGGTCACTGAAGATGAAAAAACAGACGCATAGCGTGAATAACCCTGTATAATAGTTAATAAAACACTTACATCGCACACATTCCACGTCCTGGTTGCCAGTGAACCTCTCAGGGCACTTGCAGACCTTCCGATGGTTGTCCGCCTGGCACAGAGCATTGAGGCCGCAGGCCCTGGGCAAGAGGCAGGGGTTGAGGCACTGCCCCTCCAAACATTGCTCGCTTGATTGGCACTCCTCATCGAGCCTGCAGGGCGGATTGCAGACGTTCCCGTAGCAGTAGGTGTGGGCAGGACAGTCATGGGTGCTCTTGCACCGCACCAGCTTCGGCAGGCAGCCGATGGAAACATCTGCGGCCTTGCCTTCGAACCCGTTCCTGCAGCTGCAGTGGCCCTTGTGCTCGACCGCTATGCACTCCGCATTGGGGCCACATCGACTCGCGTCGCACGCACTTTTGCACTTGGAGGTGGACTTGTCGCAAGCCGCTGCAGCTGGACAGTCTGCATCCTGCAGGCATTCCACTGCGGGCCTGCAGCCGTCGTTGTACGGATCGCCAATGAGGCCGGGCTCGCATTGGCACTTGAAGGAGCCTTGGGCGTTGGAGCAGCGGGCTTTGGGCCCGCAGGGCTCATCCGAGCAGAAGTCTATCAGTGTGCACCCTTTGAGAGCGTCCCCAGTGTATCCGGGCTGGCAGTAGCAGACCTGCTGGTGGTCCTCTGCCGAGCACAAAGTGTTCTTGCCGCAGGGGTTCCGCACTAGGCAGGCGATCTTGCACATGTTCTGCTCGCACAGTTTGTCGCTGCTGCAGTCCGAGTTGCGCTCGCATTCGATTTTCTGGCAGCCGGTTTTCTCGTTCGTCGGACTGCCTTTGTAGCCGGTCCTGCAGGCGCATTGAGCGATGTGGTTAGTGGATATGCACTCGGCGTTTCGTCCGCAGATGACGCCTTCACAGGCATCCACGCAGTCCGGTTGGCCTACTGCGTTGGCCAGACAGCGCTCTGTGGATCCGCAGTCCTCGTTGGCCCTACAGCGCACCTCCTGCTGGCAGATACTGTCATGGCAGAACTGGAAGTCTGGACAGGAGGAGTTGGATTTGCAGGTGGGCTGGCAGTAGCCCTGAATGCACAACTGGTCAGTGATGCAGTCGCGAGCGCTTCCACACAAAGAGGTGCAGATGCCATTGTAGCAGTTGAGTCCTTGTGGGCATTGCTGGTCGCTGGCGCAGTACTGCACAGCTATGCAGCCTAAGTGCGGGTCGCCAGTCATGCCGGGCTGGCACGTGCAGACGGCCAAGTGATTGGCTGGGGAACAAGCGGCGTTCCGCCCACAAACATTGGGGAGGGAGCACGGATCGTCGCAGAGCGAATCAACGCAGATCTTGTCGCTGGAACAGTCGTTGTTGTCGGCGCATTCAAGCGCTATGCAGTTGTGGTGGG